ACATGGTGACATTCATTGAAGTATAATGCTGTGCTGACCTTCACCTTTGCCTTGCTGAGAGGCATATCAAAGATTGTACCACAACCTGTGATGCTCAGTTGAGAGAGTGTAATTTCTGTGCTTCTGTAGAACTCTATTGATCCATTGCTGTCATTATCTGCACAAGTTAGTGTTGTACTTTTAGCTCCATCTCCTCTTATGGTAATGTTCTGAAGTTGACAAAATGTAATTCTAGTTGTAACATTAACTAGAGGAGACTTGATTTCAAGAATGGTATCATTTCTACCATTTTTTGCCACAAACTCTAACGATTTGCAAGGAACCGAGCTGTCAAGACAATTTAGAGAATCAGTCCCATTTTGTACATCAATGATGATGATTTGCCGAGCAGTAGTTGTACTGTAGCAGACAAAAAGAATATATAGCAGCAAAATTTTGACCATCTTAAGTCGTGTGAATGCAATAGACCTGCAGTCTTGTATATATATATATATATATAATCTGACATATGTTCCTTGAAAGTGAAAACAGGACATTATTGGTGTTATCCTCAGTTGCCAAACTGCCAGTCATTGTCATTCATTGCCATTCATGGCGAACTTTGGGACTAGTAAATATCAGCATAGCCTTGTCACAAGAGATGGTATTCCAAAAAAATTCATGCTATCATTATGCAAAGTAGCATAATGATGGTATAAAGTCATTTTACTGAACTGTTACTTGATAGTAGATACTTCCTTATAAGGTAATAAAAGCAATTATTAAGTAGATCTAATTTCAAACACCAGCCCTGCCCATATTTTCTATCTAATTTTTTTTCGAGAATTTTTTCACTTTCGCCCCTACAAGAGCTTGCTTTAAAATGTCTACCCCAAACAGCGACGTATTGTTGGATGGAGATCACTTCGTGGATGGTATACTGTATCCTGACGCAGTACTGAGAGAAGAGGAGTACAAGAAGGTGCTGGACTTCCCTCTCCAGTCTGATGACACCTTTGTCACCAGCTACCCTAAATCAGGGACAGTTTGGACCATAAGTCAAGTGAAGCTAATCAAAGAGAAGGTCCAAGAACTTTCTGGCTCTATCTCTGGTGACACAGTCCCACTGTCAAAAATGCATTTGGCTGATTCTGTCTCCTGGCTGGAAGAAGATGGAAAGGAGTTTGGAATGGTGATCTATTATTATATAATGGTTTAAGTGCAGTAAATGATGCACACTTACAACTTTAAATATTCAAAAATTTGAAATATTTGTTTGCAAATTTCAAAGCCCACACTCTGCAAAAATACTACATTTTTATTGTGTAGATTTCAGTTTTTTTCACAGGGCTTCTACTATACAGGCATTTACCTTAAAATTATGCAAAAAAAGCTAATATAGTACCTTTTATCATTGCAGGCTCTTCCGTACCCTCGTACTTTAACATGTCACATGCCTTACCACATGCTGCCTGGTGGGGAGCCTCATAAATCGCCTGCCAAGTACATTTATGTCATGAGGAATCCTAAAGATGTCTCCATCTCCTTCCATCATTATTTCTATGTCCTTGTGGAGAGGAAGCATGAGATAAAATTTGACGATTATTTTGAGATGTTTGTGAATGGGAACCCTTTATATGGGTCTTGGTTTGACCACGTCTTGCAATGGTGGGATCATAGAGGTTTGTAATAAGAAGTTAATAAAAAAATTCACACACACACAAAGGAACTAAAACATTTAGCAAGACATGCATAATTCAGACACAAAAATAATAAAATAATAATTAACAGCTAAGAATAATAATAATAAGAAATAATAACAAATCATTTATTTTCTATGTAATGTTATTTTTCTCCTCATTACAGATGCTAGCAATATTCTCATTGTCAGGTTTGAAGAGATGAAAAAAGACCTCCACAAGTCAATAAGGACCATATCTCAGTTTATGGGTCACAACCTTGACGAGCCCACTATTAATGCAATTGCTGAGGAATGCACTTTTGATAGGATGAAGGCCAACCCTCTCCTCAACTTGGACACCTCCCGCTATGCCAAAAAATATAACAAGGATCGTACTTTTATGCGTAAAGGTGTCGTTGGAGATTGGAAGAATCATCTGAGCCCAGAGCAGACAGCACAATTTGATGCCATTTATCATAAGAAAATGGACGGGAGTGGATTAGATTTTGGCATTTAATCGCTCTAAAATGTATAATAATCTAGCCTAGGTCATGTTATTATAAATATTTATTTTTAAAAATTTTAATATAAATGCATCCCTCTGGACTTGATGATAGTACAGGCCTACAGGGTATTTCATTAAAAATGGCTATGAGAGAATTCCCTATTTTTATAATTTTTTGATGCATGTATTTATGTTGTGTAGAAAGTTTCAAATAATTTTGATGAAAATTGGATATTTTACGAATTTTTTAAGTTGTTCCAAAATCAAGCCAAAGCCCCCATACTATATAGTACATGGTCTCATGCCAAGTTTTGCCAAAAGTTGAAAGGAGAGAATTCTCTATTTTTATAATTTTTCCTGATACATGATTACATATAGATGTACTTATGTTGTGTAGAAAATTTAAATTAATTCCTATCAAAATTGGATTTAATAACTTTTTAAAATTAACCTCAAAATCAAGCCAAAGTTCCTATATTATAGTACACAGTCTGAGGACCAAATTTTGCCAAAATTGAAAAAGAGAAAAATTTTCCTTTTCGGAAAAGAACTTGCACTATTCCACAAAAAAAAACTAGTTGCTGTCAAAACGACTTTGACTAACATTCAAGTTGGTTGATTTCATAAAGTATACTCCAAATCCATTGTTATCTTTGAAGGTTACTTGTTTAATGCTTACATGGTGACATTCATTGAAGTATAATGCTGTGCTGACCTTCACTTTTGCCTTGCTGAGAGGCATATTAAAAATTGTACCACAACCTGTGATGCTCAGTTGAGAGAGTATAATTTCTGTGCTTCTGTAGAACTCTATTGATCCATTGTTGTCATTATCTGCACAAGTTAGTGTTGTATTTTTAGCTCCATCTCCTCTTATGGTAATGTTCTGAAGTCGAAAAAATGTAATTCTAGTTGTAACATTAACTAGAGGAGACTTGATTTCAAGGATGGTACCATTTCTACCATTTTTTGCCACAGACTCTAACGATTCGCAATGAACCGAGCCGTTAAGACAGTGTAGAGAATCAGTCCCATTTTGAGCATCAATGATGATTTGCCCAGCAGTAGATGTACTGTAGCAGACAAAGAAACTATATAGCAGCAAAAGTTTGATCATCTTAATAAACTAAGTCGCATGAATGCACACAGCTGCAGTCTTATATGCATAATCTGACATATGTTCACTGAAAGTGAAAACAGAACATTGTTGGTGTTATCCTCGGTTGCCAAACTGCCAGGACATAGAGGGATTAAATCAAAGGAGAACAGCAACAAGAACAATAGCGTTCATTGTCATTCATTGCTGCAATTCATGGCAAACTTTGGGACTACTGTCTATGATAAATATCGGCGTAATCTTGTCACGAGACAAGATAGACTAGTATTCCAAAAAATTTTATGCCATCATTATGCAAGTAGCACAATAACTGAACAAAACCCTTTTATCTTGCCTTTTATGGAACTGTTACTTGATGGTTGATACTTCCTAATAAAGTAACAAAAGCAATTAATTTCAAACACCAGCCCTGCCCACATTTTCTATCTAATTGTATTTTTTCATTTTCGCCCCTGTAAGAGCTTTTTAAAAAAAAATGTCTACCCCAAACAGCGACGTATTGTTGGATGGAGATCACTTCGTGAATGGTATACTGTATCCTGACCCAGTGCTGAGGGAAGAGGAGTACAAGAAGGTGCTGGACTTCCCTCTCCAGTCTGATGACACCTTTGTCACCAGCTACCCTAAATCAGGGACAGTTTGGACCATTAGTCAAGTGAAACTAATCAAAGAGAAGGTCCAAGAGCTCTCTGGCTCTATCTCTGGTGACACAGTCCCACTGTCAAAGATGCATTTGGCCGATTCTGTCTCCTGGCTGGAAGAAGATGGAAAGGAGTTTGGAATGGTGAGTGACATATTATACTCTAGATCTATTATTAAATTATTTAAGTGTAGTAAACATGGGCTATGAAACTATAATGGTGCACACTTACAACTTTAAAATATTCAAAAATTTGAAATATTAAAAAATTTACGATTGTAAAATTCCAAAGCCTACACTGTACAAAAATACTACATTTTATTGTTTAGATTTTAGCTTTGTCATAGACCTTCTACTACTCATGCATTCACCATTTAATTATGTGAAAACAGCTACTATAACACCTCTTATCATTGCAGGCTCTTCCCTACCCTCGTACTTTAGCATGTCACATGCCTTACCACATGCTGCCTGGAGGGGAGCCTCATAAATCGCCAGCCAAGTACATTTACGTCATGAGGAATCCTAAAGATGTCTCCATCTCCTTCCATCATTATTTCTATGTCCTCGTGGAGAGGAAGCACGAGATAAAATTTGACGATTATTTTGAGATGTTTGTGA